CTCTCTCTCTCTCTCTCTCTCTCTCTCTCTCTCTCTCTCTCTCTCTCTCACACACACACACACACACACACACACACACACACACAAGGAATAAATGTAGCTGGGCAGTGGTGGCTCACTCCTTTAATCCCAGCACTCCAGAAGCAGAGGCAGGCAGATTTCTGTGAGTTTGAGGTTAGGCTGGTCTACAGAGAAAGCAAGTTCCAGGACAGCCAAGGATACACAGAGAAACCTTGTCTTGAAAAACCAAACCAAGCCAGTCAACCAAACAAACAAACAAAAAAAAACAACAACAGCAAAACAACAACAACAAAAAGAATAAATGTAAGGTGCTGGAGAGATGGTTCATTGCTTAAGACTCTTACTGTTCTTACAGAGGACCTTGCTTCAGCTCTAAGCAGCCACAGATGACTCACAGCCACATGTAACTCCAGTTCCAGGGGATATGATACCCTCTTCTGGCTTCTGCAGGCAACAACTATGTACTTGCTACATAAACATCATACATAGACAAAACACCTATAAACATAGTTTTTTTTTATTAAGAACACTTTTAAAATAGCTATTATTTCTTAAAATCACTCGTGCTTGTATCTGTGTGTGAATTCAGGTGTCCATGACGCCCAGTGGTGTCAGTGTCCTTGGAGATGAAGTTATACGAGGTTGTGAGTTACCTGACGAAGATGCTAGGAGCCAAGCCAGGTCCTTTGTGAGAGCCGAATGTACCCACAACCCCTGAGCCATCTCTGCAGCCCCTGTAGTTTTGTTTAGGGGTTGTTTTTTGTTTGTTTGTTTTTTAAAATTATCTTAGATATGTAGGAGCCATTTGGGTACTGGGCACTGAACCCAGGTCCTTCGGAAGAGCAGCAAGTGCTCTAACAGCTGAGCCAGCTCTCCAGCTCCCCAACCTCTCTCAGCTTGTAGCTTGAAAAACAAAAAAACCAACCCAGTGCCCTTTTAGGGCTCACAACTGTCTATAACTCCAGAGGACCCAAAATCCTCTTCTGGTCTTCAAGACCAAGGAGGCACACACATAGTGCAGACATACTTGGAGACAAAATACCCAAATGCATACAAGAAACTTAAACAATAAATGCATCCTGCTCTTGCACATGGCTCTTGACCCGCTCCAAGGGTTCCAGCACCCTCTTCTGGCATCCATGAGCAACTGCAACTGCATTTGCATACACATGGCATACATGCACAAATTAAAAACATTCACAAGGGGGCTGGAGAGATGGCTCAGTGGTTAAGAGCATTGCCTGCTCTTCCAAAGGTCCTGAGTTCAATTCCCAGCAACCACATGGTGGCTCACAACCATCTGTAATGCGGTCTGGTGCCCTCTTCTGGCCTGCAGACATACACACAGACAGAATATTGTATACATAATAAATAAATAAATATGAATTAAAAAATAAGAGCAGCTCTCCTCGATTGTGAGACATCAGGTACAGGGGCAGGAAGACTGTGTAAGAGGCTGTTTCTGGACTCTTTGGATCAGTTCCTAATCAAAACCTTTTGTTCATTAGGGGTGAACAGGAGACCCAACAGAAGCTGCAGAGGTGGCTCCTCCCTTTGAGCAAACTGCCATAACTCAGAGATGCCCAGACCATCGGAAGCCCTTGCTAACCCAGCTTCCCACATTTCCACTACAAACATGCCAGGTCAGGATCTATACAAGAGGCACTTTATTAAATGGTTGGAATGCAATTATGTAAGCACAGGGCTGGGCGTACAGGAGGAAGGGCCAGTGATGGCACACACAGGCAGGCACAGGAAACTGCTTCCACGATCCTGGTATCTTACTGATAGGCAAAGTAGGGGTGAGGGAGGGTCTGGGCAAAGACAAAGTGGAGGGTCAGTCAAATGGCTCCCAAGTTCAAGAAGTTTGGCAAAAAGATTCTAGTGTCAGGTGAAAGAACAAGGTAGGCCTAGTTAGCTCGGAACACAGAACACACCCACCTCATCCCCGGAAGCCATCCCTTGGGTGAACTCAAGTTTCTTTCCTCTTACAAAGACTGAGTGTGGATTCCTGGCAGAGAAAGGGGTGGGGCAGCAGCCCTGTCCTCATTCATTTTCCAGCGTGAACAGGGAGCCTCAAGTTTTCCATTAAGAAGCCATCAGGAGGCCACTCCGGAGGCTCACACAGAGGCCTGCTCCCCACCTCCAACCACCACTCTCGCTCCTTGCATCAGCCCCCCTCCCCCACAGTCTCTTTATCAGGAAGAGTCCTTCAGTTCTGGGTGCACACTCTTCCTTCCTGTGACCCCAGCCACCTCCAGGCTAGAGGTGGGGTTACAAATGAAGGCACTCGGTGGCTCCAACCAGCTGTGGAGCCTGATGGAATAAAAGCAGATAGACCCCTTACTGTGTGTCTACATTAAAACGTAGTAAGAATGAGAAAAGCATTTGTCAGCCCTTGGGCTGAATCAGTCATAGAGATCCAATTCTGTCCCAGCAGGAGCAGGTAGGGGAAGCTTGGATCTGGGGTTCATTGAGCCCACCTACAGAGGCTCTTTCATCCATTCTTTCCCTCTGGCTGGAAGGGCACAGGAAGTACAAAGAAGCTTGCTGCAGACATCCTCGGGCCATCTCCCGCCCTCGACTTCAAGTCACTTCACCATATTGGCACCATCTGAGCCAGTGAGAATTGGAGGCACCCATTCTGTCCCATCTCCCAGGGCTTCACTGCCCTTGGGTATAGGAAAAAATGCCCCAAATCCTCTAGGTCCCTGGAAATGGGAATTCAGGGAGGGTAGCAGAGAGGCAGTGATGTGACTTTAGGCAAGCCCGATGAGCTGGGGAATCTGACCCAAGCACCGATCACAGCTTCCTGAGAGGGCCAGGAGGCAGATGTCTTTAGGATTCTGCTACCTTCTTGTTGCTTTTATTCAAGAGTTTCTTGAGGGTGGAAGACATGAAGTAAGGCCTCTCAGCTGAACCGTCATTTCTCTCCAGATCCTCCACTGTGGACAGAGCCCCAGAGCAGGTGATGTGAGAGGGAGCCAACAGGCAGGGGTTGGGATAGGGAACAGGGAAGGGAACAGAGGGTCATAGAGAAGCCTCAGGGGTTAGGAAGCAGCATATAGAGGAGCAGGGCCTGGCAGCAAAGGCCGGTTACCCAAGGTGCTTAGGAAGCTGAGACAACAAGCCCAGGCTCAAGACCTGCTTTTATGGTGGTAAGTTCAAGGCTAGCCTGGGCAACTGAGTGAACCATTGTCTCCCAAAGAGAAAGTAAACAAGGCTAGGGGCATAGTTCCAGGGGTAGGGCCCCTGCCTAGAATTCTCCAGCAAGGGGCTGGGGCTTGGCTCAGTTGTAGAGCTCCAGCCTAGAATCCCCCCTGTGGGAAGATGGGGGTGTGACTCAGTGGTAGAAAGTGAAGGAGGGGTAGGAAATGACTACAGGAGCCCCACATTCCCAGTCAGGGGAGCCCCATCACATGCACAAACCCGGTCTCCAGAGGCCCCCTGGCCCGCTTGCCAGTCTCCCTCACTCTCTATTCCTCCTCAACTTCCTCCTGCTTGCCCTCCTGCGGACTCCCCTTCAAAAGGATGTCTCTCAGCTCGGGCGACATGAAGTAGGGTCGCTCCTGAGAGCCGTCATTCCTCTCAAGGTCCTCACCTGGGCCCCCCAGGAACCAGCAGGGGGTGAAAAATGGGGTGGTCAGGAAAGGAGGGGGTGGAAAAGAGGGGCAGAGGAAAAACAGGGAAGAAGCCAGCAGGCGTGGGGAGAGAAGAAGGGGGTGGGGGGAGAAAAGACATGTGGAGACCAGAGTTAGTGGCAGCCATGGACCCGCTCTAATTCCCAACAAAGCCAGAAATTTCAAAGTCAAAGACCCAGGGGCAGAGTGTCCCAGCTACAGCTCGGGGATAGGAGGGTGAGGAACAGTTAGCTTGGAGCATGGTGAAGAAGCCAGAAAGGCATGCGTGGCCTAGTAGAAGGAATATCCAGGACCCAGGGAACTCTGGGATGATGGTGGTGCTTTCGTGGGAGGAGGGATTTCCTTGTCCATTGGGGAGAAGGGAGTCAGGGCCCCTGTTGGGCTGAGATAAAGGGGTCACTCACAGAAACAGAGGAACAATGTGTCCACACACATGCCGTAGACGCTGAAGAAGCCATGTGCAATCATATAGGAGCCAATGATCACTGTCTATACAAGAGGAACACCTTGTTTTAGTCCAGCTCAGTTCAGAACCCCACTCTGTTCTCTTTAGGTTGAGACCTCTCATTCTCATGAACCCAGAGGCTATCTGAGGTTGTAGCACTTAACGGCAATCTTCCTGCCTCACCTTTTTACCCTTTTCTTAAAAAGACTTGTTTGCTTACAGTGTTCTGCCTGCATGTATGCCTGCACACCAGAGGAGGGCGTCAGATCTCATCACAGATGGTTGTGAGCCACCATGTGGTTGTTGGGAAATGAATTCAGGACCTCTGGAAGAGCAGCCAGTCCTCTTAGCCTCTGGGCCATATCTCCAACCCTCTTTATATCTTTTTATGTGTATGAGTGTTTTGCCTATATGTTTGTATGTGTGTGATTTGTATGCCTACTACCCAATATCAGGAGAGGTCATCAGATGGTTGTAAACCACCATGCGGATCCTGGAAACTGAATCCAGGTCCTTTGCAAAAGGAACAAGTATTCTTAACTGCTGAGGCATCTCTCCAGCCATTTAAACATTTATTTTTGTTTGGTGTGGTGGTAATTAACCCCAGCACCTGGAAAGCAGAGGCAAACAGGTCTCTGTGAGCAAAAGATCATCATGGTCTACACAGAGTTCCAGGTTGGCCAGGGCCGCACAGTGAGACCCTGCCTCCAAAAAAAAAAAAAAAATCGGTTATTATCATGTCAATGTGGCTACACTGAGTAAATCTTTTCCTGTTGTTCCTCAGTGAAAAAGAATTTTTGTTTTGCTTTGTTTTTTTCAAGACAGAGTTTCTCTGTGAAGCAGGCCTGGCTGTCCTAGAACTCACTCTATATGACCAGGTCATAGAGATCCGCCTGCCTCTGCCTTCCAAGTGCCTTTGCACGTGCTGTCCAGGTTATAGACAACCACTTTCTGCTTTCAGCTCTAAAGCAAGTCCTCAGGGACACGGCCTCTGGAAGCTGTGTCTGCTGTCTGATCCTGCGTCACACTGTCCTAGCACTGTGTGTGCCCCCTTTAGGCTTCACCCAGCCACAGTTTTATGTGTGTTTGGGACATTGTGGAGTTGAATCCCACATTGCACTAGGCTTATAATCTCATCATTTTGGAGGCTCCAACACAAGGAGAGCCTGAGTCTGGGGCCAGCCTGGGCTGCACAGCAGGGATACCTAGGAGATGTCAGTGGGTAAAATGCTTGCTGTGCAAACTGAGGGGTGGAGTTCGGACCCCAGCACCCATGCCCCATCTGTAATTCCACTACCTAGGGCCGATGACAGCCGATCTCCAGGGCCAGCTGGATATCTAAACTCGCCAAAAATCAAGGGGCCCCAGTTCCAGTGGGAGACCCTGTCAGAAAATAAAGTGATCCATCAAGAAATTCACCCTGATATTAACCTCGGGCCTCTGCCTGCACACATATGCGCTGTCATACGTGTAAATGGTCCTACACATATGGAAAAAATAGGAGTTATTCTTTTTTTCCCCCACCCTTTTTTGTTTTTGAGAGAGGGTTTCTCTCTGTAGCCCTGGCTGCCTGCCTCTTCTGTGCTGGGATTAGAGGCGTGTGCCACCGCTGCCCGGCTTGAGCTCCTCTTTGGAATCACGCATAACCTGCAGACAGGAACTAATACAAACATCTGCGGTCTGGCTTCTTATCCTTGGTTAGTCTCTTGACTTTCCACACAAGCCACCGCAGTCTTCTCACATTTCTGGTAGAGCCAGACCTCGGGGTCTCCACTATTCCTCTGCATAGATAATCCCCACTTTTTTTTTTTTTTTTGAAAGTCTTATGTACCCAGGGCTGGCCTTGAACTCCCTACAAAGCTAAGGATGACACTGAACTTCTGATTCTTCTGCCTGAAATTCCTAGTGCTGGAATGACAGGTGTGTGTCATCAGTATCATCACTAGGCAACGCACCTATGTATCTAAACTGTAAACTGGCATGACAAGATTTAGCTGTAATCCTAGGGTTTGGGAGGCAGGAAGATCAAAAATTTTTTGCCAGGCTAGGCAGATCTCTGTAAGTTCAAGGCCAGCCTGGTCTACATAGTGAATTCCAGGTCAGCCAGGGTGACACAGTGGGAAAATGTTTCAATCAAGGATAAAAAAAAAAGGCAGGGAGGAGGGCTGGAGAGATGGCTCAGCAGATAAAGAGTATTGGGTGCACTTCCAAAGGATCTGGCATCAATTCCTTGGATTAACACGGCAGTTCACAATCATTTGGTCCAGAGAATTATATGCCTTCTTTTGGCCACCATGGGCATCACACATGCATGTGGTATATAGACATATATTCAGGGAAAACACCTATACCCATAAAATGAAAGTAAAGAAATCTTAAGAAAAAAAAATTAGGCCAAGTGGCGGTAGTGCATGCCTTTAATTGCAGCACTCAAGAGACAAAGGCAGGTGGATCTCTGTGAGTTCAAGGCCTGCCAAGAGAGCCGAAAACCTCTCTCAAAAAAGAAACCCTGTCTCAAAAAAACCAAAACAACAAAATGAATAAATTAATATTTAAAAATTAAATAAAAAAACCATCCCACTACAACAATAATAAGACCTATAGGGCCAGGCAGTGGTAGCACATAACTTTAATCCCAGCACTCAGGAAGCAGAAGCAGGCAAATCTTTATGAGTTTGAGACCAACCTGGTCTACAGAGCTAGTTCCAGGACAATCAGGGTTGTCCTGTCTCAACAGAGAAACCCTGTCTCAAAAAAAACAAAAAAAAAAAAAGAGAGAGAGAGAGAGAGGAAGGAAGAGAAAGAAAGGAAGAAAAGAAAGAAAGAAAGAAAGAAAGAAAGAAAGAAAGAAAGAAAGAAAAAAAAAGAGTGGAGGACCTGGAGAGATGGCTCAGAGGTTAAGCGCACTGGCTGCTCTTCCAGGGATCCTGAGTTCAATTCCCAGCAATCATATGGTAGCTTACAACCATCTGTAATGAGATCTAGTGCCCTTTTCTGGTATAAAGGCAGACATACAGGTAGAACATTGTATACACAGTAATAAAAATAAAGACCTAGCGGGCTGGCATGGTGGGTGAATGCACTTACCACCAAGCCAGATGACCTGAACTCAACTCCTGAAACATGTATGGTCGAAGAAGAGAAGCAATTCCCACAAGTTGTTCTGACTTTTCACAAGTGCACCCGCCACACAAATTAAAAGTTAACAATAACACTAGCACCTGTTAAAGAGAAGTCCATCCATCCCTGTGCTTGTATGCAGCAGGTGAATATTTAGGGATAAATAACTAATGACTGTCCCACCTCTTTTACCAAAGAAATCTAAGCAAATCCCAACTCTCCCACCCCCTGCTTCTACCCAGACCCTGATTTGTACCCAAAGGTCCTCACCAGTATCGGGACCCAGTAATAATTGAGAGGCGGGGCTGTATCTTGCACGATTCTGATCCGATGGGTGAAGAAGAAGAAGGCTAGGATGCCTACAATGGAACGATGCGTGATGGCTGAGTCCCCAGGAAGACTCAGCGGAGACAACCTGAGCCTGACACTGGTTCACAGGTCACTCCCACCAGGCTTCCACACCCAGCAGGGACACCCAATGGCGACACTTACCCACACTACCCACAATCAGAAGTTTGCCCAACAGGAAGAGGAAGTCAGTAACTTTGTCCAGGACGGCCACCCTGTAGGGGAGATTTAGGGAATAAGTGTGAATGTGGGCTCAGAGCCTGGGAGAGGAGGCAGATAAGTGGAAGGCTGGTTGAAAAAGGGGCCAGGAGAGGGCTGGGGACAGAGGTGTGTCCCCTAACCTGATGATATTTCTCATAAGCAGGAAGAAGGCGTTTCTGGCTGAGGTGCAGAAGTTGGTGCCGTAGATAGCAATCTGGAATGAAGAGAAAGTCCAAGGTCCATGCAATGGACATGGGGGACTAACACACACACACACACACACACACAGAGATACACACACACACACACCGCAGCACACAGTCCTACCGCTCACCATGATATACGCATTCCTATTCAGGAACTTGATAAACTTCTCTAGGCACCAGAAGCAGCACTTGAGACAGACCATGAGGAACTTGGCAAACTTGTTCTGTGCAGCTGAAAGAGGAGAAGGGACGTAAGGGTGGCAAGAGACTAGTCTGGTTTGGTAGAGACCCCGGAGTCCAGCAAGACAGTTAAGGATTACAAGTCTGGGGCTTGCCTGAACTACTAGGCTAACAAGACAACTTAGCAAGACTGCCTCAAAATCAATCAATCAATCAATCCAGGTGCTGACCCACAAAAGGAATCTCCAAGGATCAGGAATTAAGGTCATCCTTGGCTATTTAGTGAGTTGGATGCCAGCCTTTCAAACCAAGACAGCTGGGAACCAAGACAGCTGGGGATGGCGACGTTGCCTTCAGCCCTAGCACTGTTGAAGGAGCAGGCAGACCTGTGAGTTCTAGGCCAGCCAGAACTGCACAGTAAAGCTCTATCTCAAAAAACAAGACCAGAAAGCCTTAGTCCAGTCTTGCTAGCCAGATCCAACAGTCCACAGCTCCTGCTGGACCTGCCCTTCGACAGTAGGAACTCTAAGCAGTTCAGTTGGCTGTTCTAGCTGCTCCTCTGCCACCCCTTCCTCTAACAGAAAGGTAGAGGCTTAGCTCTGGCCCTGCCCCTCAAGCAAGACCCAGCCCAGGCCCTAGCTGAAGCTTCAGGCAGGGCAGCACCTTTCAGGCGCTGGTCCAGGTACTCCAGCATCACTCGGATGATCTGCACGATGGCCAGGATAAGCGAGCCGAAGGCCAAGGAGCCCGTGTGGTACCTGAAAACAAAAGGGGTGATCAGTAGCCCAGCCAGAGGAATTCCCTGCGTCCCTTCTCTTCCCAACCCGACTCCCCCTTACCTGAGCGCTCTGCCAAAAGCAGAGAAGAGGGGAAAGGCAGGCATGTCATCCGGCTTACGCAGAGCCCAGTAATAGGAGGCAAAGGCTCCGGCCAAGGTCACCTGGCCCAGCGCCAGCACGAAGTTGGCCAGCCAGAAGAACATGAATGCATTGAAGATCTGCAGGCCCAGCAGGGCACGGTGGTAGGCAGACTCGCCACCATAGAAGGCAAACTGGCAGCGGCCACTGGGACACTGGCGGCTTTCATTCGCTGAGGGGAAGGTCTGGGGAAGGGGTGAGAGGCCCCGACAGAACACAGGGTCAGAAGTTCAGAGTAGGCTGATGTTGGACCACAGGGCAGGTCCTAGAAGCAAGACTACCCATTACAAAAGAGAAAGGTGTTGTGGGGCCCTGAGGAGATGGCTTAGTAGGAAAGGGGTCTTAAAAATGAGGACTTGAGTTCAAGCCTCCATCACTCACTCCCATAAATAAGTGGGTGTGTCCTGTACTAGCTTGTAGCTCCAGTGCTATAGGGAGCAGAGATGCTGTCTGAAGGGAATAAGGCTGAGAGATACAGAGTAGGGCATTACCACAAACACATATGTACAAATACCACACCACACGCATATGTGCACACACACACACACACACACCCCATAAGTCAAGAAAAGGGTAGAGGGACAAAAAGTGATCCCATAGAGGGGAAGATGTATACAGTTCAGCATGCAGGGTGGGGACAGCCAAGTTGATCAGCTCCTGCCTTTCCCTGAAAAACTACCAAATCCAGCAATGGCTTGAGAGCTCCACTCTACCAAGCTGAACACACAGAGCAAGTGTCACACGTTTGCTGAAGTATCTTCAAGGGGAGGCTGCTGGGGCAACGCCTGTCCTCCCACAGGAATGCCTACCTCTGGGTTGCAGGTTTGCCCCAAAAGCGGGCAAGATGTGTCATCGAAAATCTTGTACACAGCTACGTTAGAGGTAGACAGGAAGCTGCACACTCATTAAGGAAACTGAAATCTGGGGCTGACAATCCAAGGAGTCGGGGGAATCCAGGAGTAGTGGCTCACCCTGTAATCCCAAGACTTGGGAGGCAGAGGGAAGAGAATGACTGCTGCACAGTGAACTGCAGAGTAAGGCTCTGTCTGAAAGAAGCCGCAAGGGCAGGGAGAGGCTCATCTGATAAAGGCACCAAGCCTAATGGCCTGAGCTGGACACACAGAGGGTCACTGACCTTGGTAAGTTGTCTTATGACCTCCAAATACTGCTGCCCATTTACCCAAAATATATAAACGTAAAGAATATTTTTTGTTTGCTTTGTTTTGATTTTTTGACAAAGGGTTTCTCTGTGTACCTCTGACTGTCCTGGAACTTGCTCTGTAGACCAGACTGGCCCCTGAACTCACAGAGATCTGCCAGCCTCTGCCTCTTGAGTACTGGGATTAAAGACGTATACCATTACTGCCCAGCCTAGAAATTTTTTAAATAAAGAGAGCCATGGGAAAGGACCACACAGTCCAACCCTACCCTGGGCTGCAGGACATTTAGGGACATTTGTCCGTGGGGATCACAGACTGACAGTTGAGCAGTGGATACACAGCGGTGCTGGCCCAGTAGGCAATGCAGAGACACAAGAGGAAGAAAGTCACCAGTGGGTAGAGCATGGAGCACATGACGTGTCCCACAGCCCTGGGGAGAAACAGATAGATATCAGGGCCAGATGCCCCAGGTTGAGACCCCAGGCACACCCCTGGCTCCTCAGGCTACCTGCTGGCTTCTTTGATGAGAGCTATGGCGATCAATATCCTCTTGCGAAGAAAGATGAGTAACAGGATGATAACCACCTCCAGGATGCTTAAAATGATCACTGTGGAGAAGGGTGGGTAGCCACCAGGAGGCTCATCAGCTGAAGGCGCTTGCGCCAAGCCTGATGCTCTTAGTCCCATCCCCAGGACCCACAAGTGGAGCAGAGAACTAGTTCATGGCAGTTGTCCCCTGACCTCGCACAGAAGGGCTTTGAGATGTCCCCTCCCAACAAGGAAATATTATACATAATTTTTAAAAATTAAAAGTAATAAGAAATGAAATAGATTTAAAAATAAAGTAACATACAATTAAATGATTTCTATAAAAACTGAGAGTGAACTTTTTGGGAGTTCCATCCAATCCCTCCAAGCTTTCCCATAATGCAACATGGGGGGGGGGCAAATGACCCAACTCACTGAAAGCCATCCAGGTCTGCCGCAAGTGCAGGTACACTCGGAGGTCCGTCTGGAAGCCAAGGTCCACCAAGGAGATGTCCGAGCCCGCCTCTCCCCTGAGTCTTGAGTACTCCATATAGCAGTGAAAGATTCCTGCAGATAGCCACAACCCAGATAATAATTTTCTTTTTTGTCTAATTTTTGAGACAGGGTCTCACTAGGTAGCCCTGGCTGGCCTGGAACTTACTATAAGACCATGCTTTCGCTTGATAAATGGGTGAAAGAATAAATGGATATTAGGATGCTCCCCACCTGATGTCAACCTGAAGCCATCGAGGTGTGGTGGCACACCCTTTTAAAGCCAGTAGTGGGAGGCAGAGGAAGGCAGATCTCTACATACACTTCTAGGCCAGCCAGGGCTAGATACACTGAGACCCTGTCTCAAAATATAAATAAAAATCAGGTCACCTAAATTATCAACAACAGTTCGAACCATAGTTAACATGAACAACTTTTGTTCTTTTTATTTTTTGAGACAAGGTCTTACTATGTGGCAGGATCTATATTCAAATTTATGATCCTCTTGACTTTGCCTCCCTTGACAGAGGATAATAGGTATTGCCACCATGCTAACACAAGTGTTTCAGTATCTGGATCTTCAGATTGAGTTCCAAGGGAAAAAAATCAGAATAAGGGCCAGCAATGGCTCAGTGAATAAAGGCACCTGCTGACAAATCTAATGACCTGAGTTCAATCCCTGGTACCCATAAAGTAAAAGGAGAAAAACCACTTTTGCAACTTGTCCTCTGATCTCTATATACATGGTGTGGTACACACACAATAAGTGAACATAATACAAAAATACAAAAGAAGTGTCAGGCGGTTGTGGCACGTGCCTTTAATCCCAGCGTTCAGAAGGCAGAGGCAGGTGGATCACTGAATTTGAGGACAGCCTAGTCTCCATAGTGAGTTCGAGGCCAAAGCTACACAGAGAAACCTTGTCTCGAAACCCCCCAAAACAAACAAACACAGAAGAAAAATTAATCAGAACAAGAACCACTGGTTTGTATATTAGGCCTCTGCCCTGCACAGGCCTCCTTTGATATCATCACCATGCTACTACATCACTACCTTCTCACTGAGTCTCCAAGTAGGAAACATTAATTATTCCCATTAGATAGTGGAAGTAATTATGCACAGGGAGGCTTAGTCATGTGCCTGAGGACAGAGCGAGGAAGCAGCAAAGCTGGGATTTGAATCCAGCATCCTGGCACCACAGGACACAAGTCTACTTGCTAGCCTAAGCAGATGTCTTCATTACTGTCTTTTGTTGTTGATTACAATATCAAACTGAGACCTGGTTCTCAAAGTTCAGAGGAACTGTGGTAGGGGCCTTGTGTGTGCTAGCATTGTAACACTGAGCCAGTATGCCAACCTCTCACTGGAGGATTCTATGCAGGTGTTCTACCACTAAGCTAAGCCCTCAGCCCCTCACTGGGGGACTTTAGACAGGGAATCTATCACTGGACCACACCCCGGCCCCTCACTGGAGGGAAAGAGTAAACAAGCTTAGCCTCAGCTAGTTATATCTCATCCATCTCCTCTTGATGGGCTCTGGCTGCTTCAAAGTGTCTACAACAGTAGTGTGAACAGCTTCATAAACATGTCAGTTAAACAGTGAAAAACATCTGAAAGCTTCAGATGACATTGATGAGCTGTCACCAGGGCAAAAGGCATTGGCATGTTGTGCACATTAAGCAGGGAAGAACCTAGGAGGAAGGGGAAGACGCACCATAGCCAAGTACCAGGATCACCATGACAATCATCACCCAGACCATAATGCCTGCCAGGAACCGTAGCAGGATGATGAACAGGAGACTCAGCACCATGGCAATGACCAAACCTCTGGGGGATAAGACAGGAGCATGAGTGACACTGTCCTTAGGCTCACAGATGTAGTAGCCAGGGGACAGCCACCTTCCTTCCAACTCACATTACAATCCAGTACCAGGATACAGTGTAATCTTCAAATATCTGCATGGCCAGCTGCCGGGCCTCTAGAACCATGTTGGCCCTCCTAGGAGCAGAAGAGACTCAGATTATACCCAGAGAAGGCCAGTTCCAGTCCCACCTACCCCAGGAAACCCAGGCACTGTATACTAGAGGACTGCCTTCTCACTTGGCGCCCTCCACTAGCTCTGTGATGTTCTTCCTGGTGCCATTTCCATCCTCATAGGTTGTCTCATTGCCCACCATGAGGACCCCTTTGTTGGCGTGGATGGCCGGGAAGCACCGCTGGGCCACTGTGGAACCATAGAGACTATCAGATGAGCCCTTACAGATTCGCTGATCCTGTGGGATCCCCAACACTCACAAGGTTTGCTGGGGGTGATAACTGCTGGACAGTCCCCATCGCGGAGCGCCTCAGCCAGCCCCTGCAGAGAGAGTGGGAAGTGAATCCCTGAGCAGGGTGACTTCCCATTCCCCTTCCGTCTTTCCCTCCCTGGGTGGGAAGAAGGGGCCTTTCTGCTCACTTTATTGTTCTGGAAGCCAGGCACACAGAACTGCTTGTAGTAGTCAAAGTCTGGAGAGGTGCGTGCTTTCAGGAAGGTGAGATAGCGATCCGGGCACTGCTTTACACAGATCTGGGGGAGTGGAATGAAGGGGGTGTAGAATCAGGACATGGGGACCCCACAGCAGAGGTACCCCGATGTTCGTGAGGAGAGCACTGTGGGAAGAGGTGAAACATCTTACCTGAGGGGTGGGACACTGAAATTCCAGCAGGACCAGGGGGCTGGCACACTTGACGATGTTGAAGTAAAACAAGAAGGGCTTGTTCCTGGGGTTGGAGGGGGTGAATGGAGTTGGTAAGGCTTCTCACCTATTGGGCCCAGAGATGGCTCAGAGGGTGCCACACTTGACATCAAGCTTGCCAACCTGAGTTCCATCTCTGGGAATCACATGATGGAAGGAAAGTACAAATTCTCTGCCCTCCACATAGGGTGTGGTTTAGTGCACGCACACAAATAATAAACTCACGCATTTTTTGTTCCCTTCTGTCCACAGAACTCGCCCCGGCTATCAGTAGGGTAGATCACCTTCCGAGGGTCTCCATGGGTCCAGGCTGTGGGGAGACCCAGGGACACTGAGGATCTGTCACTTTTTAGCCACAGTACCACCCTGTGCCCCAGAGCCTGTGCCGGTCCCTCCCACCGGAGAAGCCTAAGTCCTCTCCCTTCCCGAGCTCACCTACGATGCCCACAGCCACATAGCCTACGATGGCCAGGAAGAGCAACACACAGCAAATGACATCTGTGCAGCCCCTGGGGAGCAGAGCAGCATCAGTACACGTGACCTTAGACACACCCCTTTTTACGAGACATCTGAAATGTGGGCTATGAAGCAAGTGCCTTCTTTTTTCTTTTTTGAAAAGGGGTCTCAACAGGCGGTGATAGTACACACCTTTAATCCCAGCACTCGGGAGGCAGAGGCAGAGGCAGAGGCAGAGGCAGAGGCAGAGGCAGAGGCAG